GAACCTTCACCCTTTGACTCCTCTCCTGACCTCCCCAAGTCGAGGTCGTCAGCCCATAACAATAATCTATAACAGATGTGGACCAGCCTACAAATCTTTTATAGGTTCTTCACCTTGTGTAGATCTACTGTAGGAGGACAGGCAAACATTCCTGGTGTCCCTCAAGGCCAGATTGCTCCAAGTAATCTTTTGTTTTTCTTTCATCCATAAATCTGGAGATGGTCGATATAAGACCGAGAGTCCTCAGAACCGATGTTGGCATTGCATGAATGAACTGCTGCTCTGTTGGTGTCACTTCTCCTGATCAGTAAACCTCATTTCAACCAAAGTCATCTGAGTGTCTGGTGTGTCTCTCTGTGTCGGGTTCCTCGTCCTCCTTCAACATCTTCCACAACAGAGATATGATTAGGAGCTGGTGGACTGAAACCAAAATAACCCAGCTGAGGTGAAAACGCCCATTTGACCAAACGTTAGCATTTATGAGGCAACAGATTTGGTCATATTTCCAGAAGACCTTTAATAAATCCATGAAAGAACCAAAATTCATGGTTGGTATTTTGTGACAAAGATTCTTGAGTCACTGGAAACTCCAGACCAACATCTCCACTTATTACTGCTGCATCGTTTTCACATTCCCACCTCTGACTGACTCTTCCTAACAGGACTTCAGTGACTGGCAGACATCAGGACAGTAACTGGTGAGAAATGCCGGCTGGTTGGAGGACAGGGGCACTCTGGGATTAAAGCTAAAATAATCCTGGCTGGTTCCCAGGGCCAGTCTGATGGGAGCATTCCCAGTAAGGTCATCTGAATACACGAGGAATGTTTGGGAACTGCAGGGCCCTCTGTTTTCTTTTCTGCTCCTCTTCTCCCATGTTTACATCACCATGCTGCTGAATGGCTGAAAATAATCTCCAACGTTTCCATGTGAAAGGGAACCAGAACCAGAACCACTGTACTAGCATCTAAATGAATGTGTGCATATGAAACAGTAAATGTTTACTGAACTACAGAACCAGCAGCCACATGTTTTATATGTGACAGCTGATGAAATGAGATATTACACGCAGATAATGAGCTTAGGAAGAGATAAACTAAACAAAAATAAAATAAAAAGAAAGGCAGTTAAGATGTTTAAATGTGAGAAAAGACAAACAATAAAATAGCAAATTAACATAACAAATGGAAATTGTCAATTCAAATGAAAACTTTGACAAAGCCAAAGTGAAAGTGTATCTTTTAAATAAAGAATATTAAACAAAGCAATT